AGTAGGTATATCTGTAATGTCACTGTATACCCCACTGTTACAGTATACACTGTCTGAGCTACAGTGACAGTAGGTATATCTGTAATGTCACTGTATACCCCACTGTTACAGTATACACTGCCTTCACTCGTAAGTAGGCTGAATTCTTATTTACCCATTCTAATAGATTACAGTTTATCAATGTTTCCTGTTTAAGTATTGATAAATAGCAGCAGACCTATTTAATATTTACAAATAAGGTCCATTACCAACTTTTTATGAATGGTAGTTATAACACTAGGTATCTTTTCAACAATCTCAAGAAACATGAAACTCAAGATGGCAACTAGCAGCCATATTGAATTTTAGATCCTCAAAATTTTGCTTACTGGGGAACTGATACTAAAAGTATTTGTTAGAAGATTCATGAAAACAAAGCGTTCCTTTCAGAGTTATATTAATCCAATTGAGATGCCAATATCCAATGTTGCTTTGCAGGTGACACATTTACTAACATTTGAATCAATTTCAGCGAGTATTATGTGGTAAAGTTAACTTTTTTTTTATTTTTTTATTTTCTTACCATCGGAACTACTGAAATTGAATAAACTAAATTTGTTCGGCAGTTCTAAACAAGAAAACGCCATTGGCGATATAGCCGGATTGCTAAAATATATTGTCATGTAAAGCATCCTTTTAGATACTTAGCCATGCAAGTTTAGTTGATTTACAACAAGAAGTTACTTAGTAACTGACCTTAACCAATCTACTTAACCTGGTCACTGAAACGGAAAATGTAGATCAGAACCAGCATTTGAAGCATTGCATGTGATAAGCATCCTTAGGTACATAAGCCATGCAAGTTTAGGTAATGTAGGACAATTAGTTATCTAGTAACTGACCTTAACCAATCTACTTAACCTGGTCAGTGAAGCAGAAAATGTAGGTCAGAACCAGCATCCGAAGCATCGCATGTGATAAACATACTTAGATAATAAGCCTTGCAAGTTTATTGATGTAGGAGGAGGAGTTATTTGGTAAGTGACCTTAACCAATCTTTTTAACCATAGTGCAGATGGGGCCTGACCTCAACCAATCTTCTTAACCTCGTTAGTCAAGTAAAATGTAGGTAAGAAGCAGCATCCGAAGCATAGCATGTAATAAGCATCCTTAGATACATAAGCCATGTAAGTTTAGTTGATGTGGGATAATTAATAACTTTGAAACTGAGCTTAACCATTCTTCTTAACCGTAGTGCAGACGGACGGACTGACGGACGGGAATCGCCAATCTATAAGCAGTGATTGCGTTTCAATTCGGTCAATAAAATCAAATGGCAAAATAAAACATTTATTTAAAAAACCAGTCTAAAGATTTAGATGAAAATAAACAATGAACTTACTTCCTGTAACAGTCAGTGTGGTAGCACTACTCTGTCCATTTCCTACAGAGTTGGTGGCGAAACAGGTGTAGGTACCACTGTCAGCTGTGTTAGCGTTGAGAACGGTCAGGGACGGAGAATTGACCGTAGAGCCGGAGTAGTTGACACCATCAATGGTGATGGTCTGGGTACCAGAATTAACATTACGCTGCCAGAACACGTTGGTATGGGTCGGGTTGGCAGACACGGTACATCCCAGGGTAATACTGTTTCCTGTGTTGGTGCTGTAGGCATTCTGGGAAATGGTGACAGTTGGGATATCTGGAAATATATGCATGTTATTTTTTAAAGAAGAATTCACACAACAATGTAAACAGTTCAAAACATTAACATTCTTTGCGCAGCATTGTACAAAAAAAGCATAGCCAGCAATTCATCACATCGCACCTCCCAACCCCAGACAAATGATCACTCTGATACTAAGTTTGGCAAATGTAGGTGACAAACATATAGATATATATGCTGAACAACGTACAAAGGGCAATAACTATGTATTTACTAGATAATGTGTCACCTCAGTAGGCGACACTTTGGTATTTTAAAGGAAACTCACATGATACAAGTTTTTGCAATTTGAAGATAGTAAAAACAAGACACACTCGAATACAGAGATAGACAGACTGATTATGATTGATGTATAACACTATAGCCTCTTCTATAGTACTGATTGGGTAGGGAAACTTGTTTCTTTGCTTTTTCTAGGAATATGTTTTCCAATACAAATAAAATTAGTATACAGAAAAAAAACCCCAACAAAGTCAAAATCATTAGGCCTCCATTGTTTTGTCCATCTTAGTAACTGCAACTCAGACTTGGTCTCCTGTATTTATTTTTCAAGCGGCCCAAAACGACAGAAACGCAGAATGGGAAACATGAATGACCTGGTGGGATATATAATAGGCTGCAGTCTTTACTGAACTGTGTAGAGGAGTCATGTTATAGCCCTGTAAAACTGGTGGTATATACAATAGGCTGCAGGCTGTACTGACCTGTGTTAGAGGAATCATGTTAAAGCCCTGTAAACCTGGTAGGATATACAATAGGCTGCAGTCTTTACTGACCTGTGTAGAAGAGTCAAGTTATAGCCCTGTAAACCTGGTGGGATATACAATAGGCTGCTGTCTTGATATAATTACTGACCTGTGTATAGGAGTCATGTTATAGCCCTGTAGACCTGGTGGGATATACAATAGGCTGCAGTTATTACTGACCTTTGTAGAGGAGTCATGTTATAGCTCTGTAAACCTGGTGGGATATACAATAGGCTGCAGTCTTTATATAATTACTGACCTGTGTATAGGAGTCATGTTATAGCCCTGTAAACCTGGTCGGATATACAATAGGCTGCAGTCTTCACTGACCTGTTCAGAAGAGTTATGTTATAGCCCTGTAAAACTGGTGGTATATACAATAGGCTGCTGTCTTTATATAATTACTGACCTGTGTATAGGAGTCATGTTATAGCCCTGTAGACCTGGTGGGATATACAATAGGCTGCAGTCTTTACCGAACTGTGTAGAGGAGTCATGTTATAGCTCTGTAAACCTGGTGGGATATACAATAGGCTGCTGTC